TCACACTAGACGTGGTGGAAGAGAGACAAGCCAATCCTGATGTGCTCTAGCTGGTTTTTTTATGTCTTTACAACTGTAAAGCAGCAGCACATGCTAAGCACAAAACAGCACTTGTGAGCACGGACAAGGATGACGCGCACTTGGGGGAAACATTGCTCATTCTGTTGTTACCCTTTCCTATTCCTTATGGGCACTGCACTTATAACTCCACTGTAAACCTTACCATGCTGCATTAACGAGACAGCATAACATAACAGTTTACAACTTGGGTGCTTTTAGCCAAGACAGGTTTTTTTTTTTGTTGTTGTTTTTTTTTTTTTTGAGACGGAGTCTCACTCTGTCCCCCAGGCTGGAGTGCAGTGGCACGATCTTGACTCACTGCAACCTCCGTCTCCCGGGTTCAAGCAATTCTCCTGCCTCAGCCTCCTGAGTATCTGGGATTACGGGCATGTGCCACCACACCCAACTAATTTTTGTATCTTTGGTAGAGACGGGGTTTTATCATATTGGCCGGGTTGGTCTCGAACTCCTGACCTCAGGTGATCCGCCTGCCTTGGCCTCCCAAAGTCCTGTGCTTACACGTGTGAGCCGCCATGCCTGGCCCAGTTCTTTATTTGAATTCAAGTTTTATGACTAACACTAGCTGAGTGACCTTGAGCAAGTTGCTTAGCTTGTCCAAGCCTGTTTCCTCATGTGTTAAATGAGAATGACATGACTAGTACTGACATCCTGGAGTACTAAAGATTAAATTCAATAATGGATGTGAAACACTTAGCACCTGTCACATATTGTGGTGATGAAGACCCACAGATGAAAACAGCCTCTTTCAATTCAGTCTTTCATTCATACTCATCTTAAAATTCATTTTACGGCCGGGCGCGGTGCCTCAAGCCTGTAATCCCAGCACTTTGGGAGGCCGAGACGGGCGGGTCACAAGGTCAGGAGATCGAGACCATCCTGGCTAACACGGTGAAACCCCGTCTCTACTAAAAATACAAAAAAACTAGCCGGGCGAGGTGGCAGGCGCCTGTAGTCCCAGCTACTTGGGAGGCTGAGGCAGGAGAATGGCGTAAACCCGGGAGGCGGAGCTTGCAGTGAGCTGAGATCCGGCCACTGCACTCCAGCCTGGGCGACAGAGCGAGACTCCGTCTCAAAAAAAAAAAAAAAAAATTCATTTTACACTTCAGGGTCTGGAAGATAGTAGGTGATTAATAGAGGCTGGTGAATGAATGCCCAAATGAAACCTTATGTTATAAACTTTATTTTAAATTTTGAGACAGGGTCTCACTCTGTCACCCAGTTTGGCTCGCTGCAATTTCCACCTTCCAGGCCCAAGTGATACTCCCACCCCAGCCTCCCAACCTTCCAAGTAGCTGAAGACTACAGGCGTACACCATCATGCCCAGCTAATTTTTTTTTTTTTGGTAGAGGCGGGGTTTCACCATGTTGCCTAGGCTGGTCTCAAACTCCTGACCTCAAGCGATCTGCCTGCCTCGGTCTCCCAATGTGTTGTGATCACAGGCGTGAGCCACTGCGCCTGACCCCTTATGTATAAACTTTAATATTGACCTCTTTAGCATAAACTTTGTTTGTAAATTATTTGGAGTCAACCATTTTAGGACAGTGGAATGTTGTCATTTCCACCAGGAAGCCTTGTAAAGGGTCTGGTGTCAGTGGAATAAAAAGTCAATTTGGTTTCTTTTGGCACTTAAGACCTCCCACAGCTGGACAGGACCTTAAGGACCATCCCCACCCAGTCTCTTGATGCCTATGAGAACCCTGTCCAGCAAATCACTTGTCTGGGGCCACCCACCCAGTGTGAGGACCCGACTGCAGTCCAGAACTTTCTCGCTATGGCATCCTTCCCGTTTTCCTTTGCATTTTAGGGCCATTCAGTGGGGCTAGGACTGACCATCACTAATCTCTTTTGTGAAGGGATTGGGCAACTCAGGAGAACCCATGCGAGGATCAAACGGTTGGTTGTGTCTCAATCTCTTTTCCTTTTTTTGAGACGGATTCGTGCTGTTACCCAGGCTGGAGTGCAGTGGTGTGATCTTGGCTCACTGCAACCTCCACTTCCTGGGTTCAAACCATTCTCCTGCCTCATCCTCCCAAGTAGCTGAGATTGCAGGTGCGCACCACCATGCCCAGCTCATTTTTGTATTTTTAGTAGAGAGGGGATTTCACCATGTTGGCCAGGCTGGTCTCGAACTCCTGACCTCGTAATCCACCTGCCTCCGCCTCCTAAACTGCTGGGATTACAGGCGTGAGCCACCACACCTGGCCATGGACCTTTCCCTTATGCCTCTATCTGATCTGTCATACTGGCCTGCACTGAAATGGTGACTCACAATTAAAAAGCCCCTTTAAGGAGTGGCAACAGGTCAGATGAGATGGAGTTTCATTTCTCTGTAGTAAAGTTTGGGTTTCATCTCTGTTCATGGGTTTCTCCTGTGTTTAACTGCTCTAAGGCACAAATGTGCTCTCTTAACCCACTGTACTGTGTGGAGACTCAACAGATTCTTTGGTTTAGCTAACGTGAGAACACAAAACAGTCTAGTTATGAGGCTTTAACTAATTTTCAGTCTCAAATGAGTGATGAAATACAGATAGCAATTACACAAACTTAAGGCTTCAATTACTTTTTCCTCCTTCTGAAATAATAAAGGCCCAGTGTGGGTGCTTTCACCTCAGCACATACTTCAGCTAGGGTCCAAAGATGGCTACAGGGAAAATACCCTGCTCTTCTCAGCTCTCACAGTCCTGGAAGTACATTTCCATGCACTGAAAGATGTAAGACGGGCTGGGTAGGGTGGCTCACACCTGTAATCCCAGCACTTTGGGAGTGGGAGGATTGCTTGAGCCCAGGAGTTTGAGACCAGCCTGGGAAACATAGGGAGACCCTGTTTCTACAAAAAAATTAAAAAATAGCTGGCCGTGGTGGCACACGCTAGTAGTCCCAGCTATGCAGGAGGCTGGGGTGGGAGAATTTCTTGAGCCCAGGAGTTTTGAGGCTGCAGTGGGCTCTAATTAAGCCACTGCACTCAGCCTGGACAACAGAGCGAGACCCTGTTTCAAAAGAAATTAAAAAAAAAAAAAAAAAAAAAAGAGGTTTAAGATGCTACAAGCCACAGAACATTGTCCAAATGGTAGGTAAAAGAAAATACATGTACAGGTTGGAGAAATTCAAGTAAATTCTTCTTTTAGTACTTAAGGGAAACAAAATCAGCTGGAAGGCTCCCCAACTCCTCACCACCATGCACTCACACGCACGCACAGCCAGCGTTAGTCTCTACCCACTTCAGGACATTGCATTTAGAACAAAAAAAGTTCAATTAATCAAATTTTCCTAAGAAAAGCATCTACGGGCATAGCCACAGAGGAAGGGTGAGGAAACGCAGGTGTGCAAACTCTTGAAACCCACAGCTGTGCTTTCACATCCTGAAATAAATCTGTTTCCAAGAACAGAGGTTTCTGTTGCCCACATTTAAATCTTGAATCGTGTAAAACTCAATGACATACTCATGTTCGAAGTTAGCATCCTTACATGGGATACCTGAATCTCTTATCTCCCAAGACTTATGAGACATTCTTTCCAAGTCTGAGAGTTGAATTAATGAGGTTATACTGGGCGGTAGAGAGGCGGCAAAGGGAAACCGGATTGAGCAGCAACAAATTATATGAACATTCCAAATTCAGTTAACCACATTCCACTCACACGAGAAAAAATTGTGCAGTTTTTAGAAATGGGATTTAATATACAATTCAGCATTAACATTGTCATGTTTAAAAGAAATTAACCCAGATAAAAAGAATTTGGCCTCTAGGGAAAATCAGGAGTTCTACTCAAATTCTAATACCAATAATAAACTACTAGGGTGGTGAATTTTCAGGATCTAATGAAAAGCTTGTTCAATTCGATGGCGAAGTAGTGGCGTGACATGAGAAGGAATGTACAAAGCCCGTTACACAGCAGTACCTCCTTTTGAACTGATAGGTTCTAACGCTTTTTCTTATTCATAGAAAAATACCCAAAAAGTAAAAAATTTCCTTTTTTTTCATAGTTCCTACTACAGAAATTCTGATTTTTTTTACTTGCATCTAATTTGTGTTATCTGCTGTTAACTTAATGTAAGCATACTTCTAAGCTGGTATAACCAACGTAAATTAGCATCATAAAGGAAGTTAGGGAAGAGGCTGTAGCTCATCAAGTCGCAGCCAGTGAAGATGGAGGACGTTCTAATGACTTGTCAGAAAGAGGCCAAGTGGTGAACAGGTATTGCCCCAGGTTGGATGGTCACCTGCTGGTGTTAAGGCTCTGACATCCGACTTCCCCTACAACTTTTAGGTCAGTCAAGGTCATCTGGGGTCACTGACTGTGCTCCCACAAGTAAAATTTGAGATCTGACATCTCAGTTGCCATAATTTGCATCATGCAGGCTTTTTATCCAAGATCTAATGCTTCTAAGCTGGAACATTTTACCTCAGGTACCTCTTTGAGTTGCCTGCTGGGAAGCTGCGGCCCAAATTTGTAGCCCACTTCCAGCTGCATTTTGTGTACATGTTCACTCTTGATTCAGTGTTTTTCCATTTCTCCTTTACTCAGAGCATATTTAGTCTAAATAAATGTTATTGCGTTGTACGTGTCAAACATTTCCTGGCACAAGGCAATGCATAAACAAACTTTAGATAAATTATATTATCATCAGGCTAGAGTGAATCACGCTTACTACATATCACAAGCCGCTCAGGGCAAAGATGATCGGAGATTGAAAAGATAATCACATTTCTTAGCATCTGCATGCTCTCCCTGGGGCAATACTGGACTTGTAAAACTCTGAATTTCAGGAGTTTCAAATGAAACATGAATTCAAATTGCCCCAAATGAATGTTTTCAGAAGCTTCTGAATTTCCAAAAAACATTTAAAAATGGAATCATTCAGCTTAAAAACAGTCTGTCTGGAAAGACGCCTGGTTGTGGTATATGACAGCATACAGGATAACCAGAGGTGGAATCTTTATTTCACAAGTTTCAAGATACAGTACAAAACGAATCTGTACATCTCTCTATTAACAGGGTTTGTTTGTTTACACAATTATATTACACTTCACCAACCTTTATACTGCATTTCATTAAATACAAAATACATTTACAAAAAGAGTCTACCATGGTGTTCCTTCACAATGCCAGCTTAAGGTCTTTTAAAACTTCCTTTTCTACATATTTATAGTGGTTATATCTTGATTATATCAACATTATGAGTTTTATGAGTTTATTTTTTAATCAGAGAGAATAGTGTCAGCCTGTTTCTCAGACCAAATAGGAAAAACAGCATGTGAGGTGATTCCCTGCACATAACCAAGGAATCCTTTTCATGCACACATCGGACTTTTACTTGTGCAAACAGTCACTTTAACATACAAATCATCTTTCCTTGGGATCGTTTTAAATTTTCTTGAAATACCAAGTGGGTGGAGAAATATACCTTCTTTTCGATGAATACCACAAATTTAAAATCCAGATCGTGCCTCAGGCATTCAGGAGTGTTATATTTTCATTTATATTTGAGAGCGATGACCGATGAAAAATATTTGCATGAAAATAGAAATTTTCTTTTGTTCTAATCATTTCTTATATACTTCTAGTCATAATAATGTGTAATATATATACATATGAGATTCACTTTCAAAACAAGTATCAGCTGTCACTGAAACAAATATAACCCTGCTTGTCTTGGCAGGTAAAGGGGCTATTTCCATGACACATCTTGTTTTGAAATGTGCATGTTAAATGTTAGTCCGAACCTCTGTAAAGGAAGTTTTTGCATATGTAGTTGAGACATTAATGCACATGCTACCCACATAAAGAATTGTGTTTTTCATCTATAGGCCTGCATGCATACTTCCAAACACTGAAAAATGAACATGAGGATAAAAGAAGGGAGAGAAAGACAAAGCAAAAAAAAAAAAAAGAAAAAAATCCTATATATATATTAATGAAATACTTAAGTTTCCTGGAGGCATCAACGGCTCTTTAAATAAATCATCAGATCATCACCAGATCACTGGCAGGGGTTTCCAAAACTTCCCAATAGTACAGAGACAAAATGGCTTAGTGGTAAGACTCTCACATGTAAGGTAAAAATTAACCTAATATGCAGAAAAGTAACAAATCCTTAGGAGTATCAAGATTAATAATTTATAAATTAATCTGAGTTAAGTGCTAAATAATAAATTTTGAAAAGAAGTCATCTTTGATTTAGTTTTTTTTTTTTTGCCATTGACTACTAATCAAAAATAAGCCTCACCTAGAAAACAGAAACTGAAACTTCAAACAGAGAGAGAGAGAGAGGAAAAAAAAACCCGCCAATGCTACCTCTGTAAAATAAAATAGAAGCAAAATGAATAGTTTCAAGACAGTCGGCTAACCAACAAACCAAATGCATAAGAGAATACTAAACAGGGTATTACTGTCATCACGCTCGAAAGCAGGAAGACAGACTACAAAAGGTCTTAGGAGAGATGGGCTACCGTGGACAAATGAAGCCACACTCTATCTGTTAAGTCTAAATTCTAACATTAAAACTCCTGAATCCTGAGTTAGTTTAATGTCACTGACATTAACTAGCTTTAGTTACTGTCATTTTATTCAAATGGATGCCATTTGATTAGGTAAGTATTGAGCATTATTTTAGGAGAAAAACCAAACCCAACTCCTATTTGCTTAGGTACCATGTCCCATGAACACAAAAGAAGAAGAGAGCAAAGTATTTTTGAGACAGTCTTTAAGTGAAGCCATAAGAACTAAGTTATTTGAAAGATACCATTCACAAACTGCTGGCAGCAAATGACCCAGGGTAAAACAAAGTGGAAACAAGCCAAGAAAAGGAAATTCAGAACATTAACAATAAAAAAAGGCAAGTGGTAAACTAATAAGAAGTGGGTTATTATATGAAGAACGAGACTGCACTTTCCCATCCAGCCTTAGGTGGCACACACTGTTTTAAGACATGTTTTCTCAAAGCATGTACTCAATGGAGGAAAGGAAAGTTTGATATAAAAATCTTGCTGAAAGAAAAATGAGGGTGGACAGCAGAAGAAAAAAGTGAAAGTTGGTAGTCATCTTGGGTGGTTTTTCAACTTTTAAATAAATTATAACAGTTCTTTCTAAAGGAAGTGTGGCTGCTACCATGGATTACACTTATTTTGAAGCGGGGAGAAGGGGCCGTGGTGCAGACACCAAAGTACTGTACCAACTGAACTCAAATCTCTACGTGTCAGAGACCAAACAAGTCTTAGTATTTACAAGAGCTGCCTAAAGCAACATTACACTTAGTGGGGGTAGATTTCCTACCTTTCACAGATATGCTTTCATACATATGGTTCTCTTGGTGACCAACCCTTCGAATCTGGAAGCAATTATCTGGGAGGAAAGTTTTGCTTACCAGGTTTCCCATAATTCTCTAAACACAAAAAAGGTATACAACTTCACATTTAAAAGCCTTCATGTTCATTATAGGCTAGTTAAATCTAGTTCTAACTACTACCCCAACTTCAAAAATCAAAGCAGTACACCTCTACAAGCAATAAACTTTTCAAGTTTTCTGGCAGATGAGGGATTCTGGGAAAAAAGCATGAAGGTTAGTATAAACAGACTGACATCAGTAGGCATAGAAAACCCGCTCAGATACAAATGCAGTCTCAGACAAGATACAGGCTGGTGAACACCACCATCTGACAATAAAATGAAATACAAATTCAGTTTAAGCTTTAATTCCTTCACGTGTGTGATTATGTGAACCTCTTCAGTTTTTTTTCCCATACTATTTAACCAGACAATCCTGAAAATCAAGTAGCCTTGATTTTCCTAATGTTAGTAGTGAGAAAATGGCGACTATGATAGCTAAGCAGTGGCTGGCTTTCTATTATAATATAAAACTATCAGAAATAAAAAGATACCTGAATAGTACAGAACAATATAGACAGGTTTTGGCTTTCATCAACCACTGAGTTTAATCCATCTTTGATTCTCTGAGTTTTAGTATTATAATAGTAGTCACTGTAAGCCATACCCTGGCAATGATATTTCATATTTAAAGAATTCAGGAAGGTGATGTGTTCTTTGTGCAAAAAGAAATGCCAAGTAAAATAAATCCTGGGAACAAATGCTTTAACTTTAGGAAAAGTGTGTCTCTGTCTGTGATCGTGGTACCCCAACCAGAGTTCGTTTTGTTTTCTAATTTCTCCCACTTAGTCCATCCTCTGGCTTCTGGATCAAGGCTCTGTATATTCAAAACAAACAAGCAAATTACAGAGTAGGTGGGGCAAATTCTCGTTAGCGCAAGGAGTCAGTTCACAAGGCTCTGTATATGTATATTCCATTCCAAAAAGTAAAGCTCACAAAAAGCTCCTTAACAAGGCCTTTCAGTCTTTGAAGGAGAGGAGTATGGTATACTGTATGACAATCACCAATAAGAAACCGCCCAACCTTCCCTTTTAAAATAACGAATATGCTGAATAAATCTAATTGCATGTGGACTGGTAAGAGCTTCTCAGTTGTCGCAGTTTCCAAAAACTTAAAAGGCAAGTTCTATTTTCAGACTTTCAAACACATTTAAATTTGCAACTAACTGGGTTTTCCTTTTTACACTGATCAGTTTTTAGTGTTGATGCACAATACCTTAAAGATGGTTGACATTAAGAACTTATGCACACTGAAATAATGACCAAAAGGATCCAAGAAAGATAGCTGGATACAGTAGACGTTACTTTGAGTGTCTCACATATGTTTCCAGAAAAGAAAAAAGAAAGCCACTGAGAGTTGTTATTCCATATGGCACTGAAACAAACATTCAGCTTAGTTTAGGTAAGAGTTACTTATCCCTGAAAATAAAGGCATCAGATTCTAAGCAGCTTTAGGAGTTCAATGCTTCCTTGTGCCGTGCCTCTTCCGGGAGGTGACCACTGATCCAAGGTCAAATGCAAGTGTTCCCAGCAGATAACTTCCTTTGCCGTCACTGATCAAGGCTGGACCCAGTGGCTGTTACTGTGGTGGCTGCTGCTCTGGTGGCGCCTCTTGCTGGGGTGGAGCTGGCCGTGGCCCTGGAGGCCTGGGTGCAGGCAAGTCTTGGTGCTGCCTTTGTCTGTAAGCTATGACTGTTCCCAACAGCAGCGCAATGATGGTCATGAGGTAAAGGTCCCACTCAGGTCCCAAAAGCTGGTCCATATCAAGTTGGGTGAACATATCCCGAATCTTAATGAAAATAATATAGAAACCATTATTATCACTAAATTGTCAGGCAAGGAACTGGGAAAGTTACATCACCAGAGATAAGTACAGAAACTAAAATAATTGGTTTTAAAAATGTTTTGCAATGTGTGTATGTGTATGTTTACAAGGGTTTTAAAAGCCTTCAACTGAAGCTCAAAATAATGTGTCTGAGGAATTAAGCTATTACTGTATAACAGAAGACATTTAATATAAAATGTTTGACAGTGTTCTTTCCATCAGTAATCCAACACACTAATTTTAATCATTTTTCACAGAAAATATTTGAAAACAAACACACACTGGGGCCAGGCACAGGGGCTCATGCCTTGTAATCCCAGCACTTTGGGAGGCTGAGGTGAGTGTTTCACTTGAGGCCAGGAGCTCGAGACTAGCCTGGCCAACATGGCGAAATCCCGTTTCTACTAAAAATACAAAAATTAACCAGGCATGGTGGCGGGCATCTGTAATCCCAGCTATTTGGGAGGCTGAGGCACAAGAAATGCTTGAACCCAGGAGGTGGAGGTTGCAATGAGCCGAGATAGTGCCATTGCACTCCAGCCTGGGCGACAGAACGAGACTCTGTCTCAAAAAAAAAAAAAAGAAAAAAAGAAAAAAACAGTGGCGAGCCAAGGGGAGAAATTAGTATGTTGGCACAGCGAATCTACTGGCAGTGACAGCACACCAGCTGGAAAGCTCTGTTCCATGACAGTGGGGCCACTTCACTGTTCTCCATGTAATTGAAAATAGCAGGAATTCAACCATTTAATAGCTGAATAAATAATGCTTCTCAATTAGGATTTAACTAAAACACAAAATATTTAACATCTGAATTGCAACCTGAAAGTTACGTCCTTAGGCTATGATATTTTAATTGTTTTAATATCACTTATTTCTGACACTTTCTGACTTCTATTATACTTACCCATTAAGATAGTAAATATGGGGTATATATTTTTTTTTTTTTGAGACGGAGTCTCGCTCTGCCGCCCAGGCTGGAGTGCAGTGGCCGGATCTCAGCTCACTGCAAGCTCCGCCTCCCGGGTTCACGCCATTCTCCTGCCTCAGCCTCCCGAGTAACCGGGACTACAGGCGCCCGCCACCTCACCCGGCTAGTTTTTTGTATTTTTTTGGTAGAGACGGGGTTTCACCATGTTAGCCAGGCTGGTCTCGATCTCCTGACTTCGTGATCCGCCCGTCTCGGCCTCCCTAAGTGCTGGGATTACAGGTGTGAGCCACCGTGCCCGGCTGGGGTATAATTTTTAAAATAAAATTACATTTGAAGTATCTCTATAACACATTTGTAGGTACAAGTGCTAAATTTTTCTGGAAAAAAATGACAAGAAACCACTAATTGTGTTCTCTGGGGAAGAATCTGGGATGGGAGATTTGTGGTCTTCTGTACCGTTTGACTTTCTTACAATCACTACTTATTAGTCTTGTACTCTCTTTTTCTTTTTAGTTGGAATAGCTAGGTGGTAGGATTATGAGGCGTTTTTACTATCTTCTTTATACTTCTGTATTAACACAAATAGCAAAGATATAATATACCCAGTACAGCATACTGTAAGATGAAGTCCTAGACCATAACCAACAGTGAGTAATAAAAACTGTGAGAGAGAAGGGTCTGCAATGGTACTGAGAGAGAAAGAGAAGGCTGCCACATGATCGGCTTTTTAATGAAAGGAACACAGATTGTTTCAGTTGGCAGTGGTTACAGCACACCTGACTCATGCTACCATGCAATTAATGTATAAGCGACTGGGAGGCCAGAGTCCCACAAGACCAGTGCTCTGGAGCCCTATCTGTGGAGGACTTCAGGTGCATGGACTAGACAAGTCCATTTCTTTTCACTGATGCTGGAGCAGCATGGACTACATTTATACCTGTGACAGACATGAGGGAAAGCCCGTTCTTGAATCTAATACTGAAAGCCATTAACAAAAGGGTGAAACATCACCCTTTTCTGGTCCTGAAGAAACTTCTCTTGTCCTGAATAAGCCTATGTTAGAAACAAGGGCTCTGAACATCTTAGGGCTTTCAGAGTGAAATGCTGCACCAGTTAATCCATTCTAGGAACTACAGTACTAGAAACAAAATATAAAGCTGGCAGAATGCAAGAGTACCTACATACCAGTATTGCCAACTAAAGTTGGTAATTTTGAAGAAAATGGGTAACCCACTTCCTATATAGGTTCTTCCATTAGCCTATTTAAATAATTTACACTACTTTTAGAGAAGAAAATTCGGGTGGTGTTTTCAACTTAATGTTTCACTATCAGAAGAATCTGAAGTACAACAACCTGGGCAGGTTCTCAGGTTCTTCTTTCCTTTTTTTTTTTTTTTTTTTTTTCTTTTTCTTTTTAAGGGACTCGTTTAAATCACTGCCAGGCGGTCATCTGATTTAACGTTTACTGAATTAAATACTGTTTCAAACTGCCGTCAGTCTCAGTTTTCCCTAAAACAGAAAACATCTGCCTCCATGAAAAATGCTTTAGCGTTAGGAAGTGTCAAACACTATCTAAAAACTGCAGTAGCTGCTTTGTGCCTGCATTTATCCCTCCCCTGATAAGGTGCTCCGGTACCTGAGCCGAGGGGAAGAAGGGAACACACCTGATACCTGCAGGACACTCTTCCCTGTGCTTCTCAACTTTTGAAAAACAAACCTCCAGGACAGACCTTCCATCATTGATATTTTAATGAAAAGCGGCATGGACCACTTACGTTTGTTTCCCGTATGTACTGCAAGAAATAGACAATGCCCAATTTGCAGAGGGCTAGGAAGACTGGAACTTGTGCATCTGGGCTGGCTTCAGCTGCCATGTCATAAAAACGTTTTGCAAGGTGAATATCCTATAATATAGGTAAGAAACAAAAATGCATTTGCTTGTCAAAATAAGTAAAAATATTTAGTGAACATATTAGACAAATTTATTTTACCTTTGAGGTTTTCATTTTAAAATGAGTTTCCCTCACCTAAAAATGCCAAGCTTTACTTGGATAAAATTTGTTTAATTATCTAACTGCTTAATATTGAAAAACTTAATTAAAAAACTCATTTTCCCCCAACATAACATCTCATTTGCTGTGTAGATATGCTGGATACAGCCATGTATCTATGCATTAGCACTGTTAACCTAGAGATTTCCAAGGGTGACCTCTGAAACTCACACTAATTTTTTGCTACTGAAAACTTCAATCAGTGTTAGCAACGTCTGGTTTCAGTTTGGGACAGTGACCTTCAAAGTGGGGTAGAGACACTCAAGATTTTACAACAAAGGCCAGGCCTGATGGCTCATTCCTGTAATCCTAACACTTAGGGAGGGTGAGGCAGGAGGATCACTTGATGCCAGGAGTTCAAGACCAACCTGGGCAACATAGTGAAACTGTCTCTACAAAAAAATAAGCCAAATTAGCTGGGTGTGGTGGCGCCTGCCTGTAGTTCCAGCTACTTGGGAGGCTGAGGTGGGAGGATCACTTGAACCCAGGAGGCGGAGGTTGCAGTGGGCTGATATGGTGCCACTGAACTCCAGTCTGGGTGACAGACCCTGTCTCCAAAAAAAGAAAAAGATTTACCAAGAGGTACTGGCATGGACATGTTAAGGGACTCCGTTCTGCAGTTCTGCAGCTTCCATATGTGCTTTTTCCTGAAAGGGATCTGCTGAGAATAGGCCTGTGTGCACAGCAATGTTTCTCTGCAAAAAAGGAGGCACAGCCCTTATCTACCCCACTCTTTCCTCAAGTGCATTGCCTTGGGGTGTAAAAACCTCAGGGGCTACCACCAGAAGAGATGCCTTGAAATACTGGTTCTGAAGAAGGCTCCTTTATCGACTAATTATAAACCCTTATTAGGGGATCTTGTGTTTCCTTGTGTTAGATCTTTCTGTAAGGGGTGAAACCAGTCATTCTTAATTTTGGCCCAGGCTGGAGTATTCTGAATTCAGACATGTAATAGAATGGGATGGTGGGAATTTTCACTTAAAAATCTCACTTCTACTCCCTATTATCAAAGAATACCAAACTCTTAAAGAATTCCATGAGACATGAGGAAGAAAGGTTAAAGACCAAAAATGACTCCCCCGCCAACATATTTAAATACAAGCAGTTATTTTCACCTATTCCTTATTCTTGTCCTTAGGGTGTGTCATTATTTAAAAAGAAGAGCATCTTCAAATAATGGTAACAATATGGTTAGTGTCTGAGTTTTTAGAAAAATATAACTCAAATGGTTTTTTGGACTGCTGTATTTTTCAAGATCATGGATCAAACTTCCTGTGATTCATACACTGGATGATTCACTGGGGTAATTAAATAGATTCACTAGTGTGTAATTAAAACTTATCAAATAATATGATTTTTTTCAATTACAGTCAATCCTCATATTTAATATTTTCCTAACTATATTAAATGGGGGATTGCTTTTAGTAGCATGAATATTTTAAACCTCAAAAGAAAAAAAATACAAAAGGTGATCACGATGTCTTATAAAAAAAAGTAATGGAACCGGGTGCGGTGGCTCACGCCTGTAATCCCAGCACTTTGGGAGGCCGAGGCAGGTGACTCATGAGGTCAGAAGTTCGAGACCAGCCTGGCCAAGATGGTGAAACCCCATCCCTACTAAAAATACAAACATTAGCTGGGTGTGAGGGCAGGCGCCTATAATCCCAGCTATTCGGGAGACTGAGACAGGAGAATAGCTTGAACCCAGGAGGCAGAGGTTGCAGTGAGCCAAGATCGCGCCACTGCACTCCAGCCTGGGCGACAGAGTGAGACTCCATCTCAAAAAAAAAAAATAAAAAGTAATGGAGTTACTGATTTTTATACATGATTATTTATTTTCATACATGATTATTTATTCTCAAAAGCTAAACAAAAGTTCCCTCCCCCTACTCTTATCAACGGAATACTATGCCTTTTATCATATTCTTTATTCACAAGAATTTCTATTATTAGTTATACATTGTAAATTAGAAGAGCACATTAATTTTCTTGTTTTATAACCTATTATAAAAACAAGAGTAGTTATATCATTTTAATCTTGACTACAGTCAGTAAATTATTACTAGATGTACTCCATGAAAGCTATAACTTACATGTGATTTTTATATTAGTCTTGTTAAACTTCACTTGATTTAAAAATAAAGTCAGCTGGGTGCAGTGGCTCATACCTGCAATCCCAGCACTTTTGGAGGCCAAGGCGCTTGAGTCCCCAGGGGTTTGAGACAAGCCTAAGCAACACAGTGGTACCCCATCTCCATTTAAAAAAAAAAAAAAACAAAAACCCATCAGCCTTTCTGATAGAAGCTAAGTCTAATTTGGGACACTGGATGACTGGGTTTGACAATAAAGAGAGGCTTTAATTACTACATTAAGTGGCAGAGATCTTCCAGAAGTTGAATGTACTGAGTTTGCTGCTCCTAAGCCTTGACTGAACTATATGTAAGTATCTAATTTTAGTAATATTCTAAATATTAAGGTAAGTTTAAAATATAAACATTTACATACTAATTAAAATAAAACATCCAAATGTTAACAAAGCAGCAGCATTTTGTCAAGAAAATACTGCATTAGCAAAAAATGAACTTAACTTTCCCTCAATCCTTAAGCAGAGTTAGGTCAACAAAGGGCCTCTAAGTGACACAGGAAGGAGTATAATTAACAGCCCATTTCATAAGTCTTGGTAAAGCCTTTTATACTCTTCCTAGAAATTGAGAAAAGTGAAAGGCTCCAGTGTCAGGGAACGCATGTTTTCACAAGTCTCTCATTTCCAATTCTTTGCTTTCGACACAACTGAAGAGGGACCTATCAAGTGGTCAGGGGACTGATCATTAAAAATAATTTCTAATGACAAGTGACTCTGATTTTTGGCATCTAACTCTTAAGGCAGTTTGAAGAATTAAGTGACCACGCTATAGTGAAACTCTTCCCATTTTTCATGTACATATTTATATGAATGACATTCTAGTGATACATTTTAAAAAACGAAAAACAGAATGCTAAATCTCAATTTTTAACAAATACTCTATCTCATTAAAAGATGCATTTTCAATTAACAATACAAAAAGCAAAGTTTTATCAAAATGTATTTTGTAGATTTGACCAACAATGTATTAACTGACCAACTGTGACTAGTAATATCTCATGAATTTTTCTTAACACTTAGATCACTGGTAAAAAAATTCAAAATGAATTTATACACTTGTTTGTTTCAGATAAGTATGATAGAGTAATCAATAAAAGACCTAAGCATTAAAAACAATATATTAGTATTACATTCTACAGAACTCGTGGTAGAAAACATAAATTTAGGGAAACAGGAAAAGATATAACTTTCAATTAAAAAACTTGCTTGTATATTTCTAAAACATTAATAATGGTGGGTGAGTATTCAATTATTATTATTTAGAGTCTACTGGATATTTTAAGGGTAACTAACTTTATTTAAAAATGTTAATGATTAAAATAGCTAGAATTTAGACCCTTTGAAACTTAAGAAAAAACTGAAATGCCAACTTAAAAATGTACAAGGGGGTCTGTAGTTTTTCCAATTTCTTTTGAGGGCACACAGGCAAAACCTTAAGTCATGAGTCTAGAGAATGTCAGACTTCATTAGGAAAGTATAAGAATCAGAAATAAATTTATCATAATGCATTTAATTCATTTCAAAATAATTTGAAAAGAATAGAATTTGGCTGAAGACGGACAGACAGTTTCTCAAACAAGCAGTTATCAGCAGAGGCAGCACTGCACCTCCATTTTCATGAGTCTGTCTTCAGCTTAATCCCTAAATAAAATGGCGTGGATAGCAGTATCTGTGGGTGCTGGAAGATGAGAGATGGAAGCACAGTCTTCTGAAATATTACAAATCAGGCCCATAATTTAGTGGCCTGAAATCCAACTGAATGTCAAGGAAAGTCTATTTTCTATTCAAATGCAAGTGTTTCCCCCAATCACAATTATATGATTCAAACATGTTTGGAAGCCACACTCACCTGTTTAATGCCCAGACCTTTCTCATGCATGTATCCCAGATTAAACATAGCTTGTGCACTGTGTTGCTGCTCAGAAGCCAGACGGTAATGAATAAATGCAGTTTCATAATCGACATCGGTGCCAAATCCATAGAAATGATAGTCTCCGAGCTTAATTCTAGCCACAGTATAGCCTTAAACAAAAGTTAAATGCAGAACTGCCAATAAATAAAGTATGTTTAAAACAGACCAAACTTTTTTCTCCTCCTGTTAACATGCTTACATAAAACAAATAATTTTAATTCGTAGTACACAAACTTTGTAACAAATCCTTTCAGCCAAGTTATAAAGTCCAGTAAAAATTTAAACTAGAAGTGTAGCTCTTCTGCAGAAGGCTTTGGAATAGAGAGAGGTAAAACCAAGTTGGTGGTTTTACCAACCAACCTGTTGTTGGGGGACAGGTTTAATATCCCTAATTCAAAAATCTGAAATCTGAAATGCTCCAAAACCTGAAACTTGACATTCAAAGGTCATGCTCAAAAGGTAACGCTCACTGGAGCATTTCAGATTTCAGATTAAGGATGCTCAAACAATATATATGCGCAAATATTCCCAACACACACACACAAATACAAAAACATCCGAAATCTGAAACATTCTGGTCCTAAGCATTTCAGATAAGGGATACTCAACCTGTACTCCCTTCTTTCACAAACACTCCTATGTAAATGATCAGGCTCTACTTTATCATGTCACTTACATTTTAAAATAGTCCAGACTGACCATTTAGGTTTGGAGAAGGAACAAGCAGAGAATGTTGAGAGGAACATGTTCAAAAGAAATATTCAAAAGAAAAAGAAGAAAAAGTCTCTTAGGTTTCAGACTAATATTCTATCATATATTCTGTTTAATTCCCGTTTCACACAGTATACTGGCCTCAAACTACAAACCAAAGAGTGAATCATAGCTTGACGGAAATGTGTTGTACAAAGGCTTTACAACCCAATTTAGAAACTCTGGCTCTGAGAAACTTCTATGTCAAGAATAAATAAGAATAATATGCAAACAAATGAAGTCACAGTATCTCTGCTTAATTATTTTATTTTTTTGAGATGGAGTCTCATTCTGTCACCCAGGCTGGAGTGCAGTGGTGCGATCTTGGCTCACTATAACCTCTGTCTCCCAGGTTCAAGCGATTCTCCTGCCTCAGCCTCCTGAGTAGCTGGGATTAGAGACGCCTGCCACCATGCCCGGCTAATTTTTTTGTTTTTTAAATAGAGTTAGGGTTTCACTATGCTGGCCAGGCTGGTTTCGAACTCCTGACCTCAAGTGATCCTTCTGCCTTGGCCTCTCAAAGTGCTAGGCTTACAGGCGTGAGCCACTGGGCCCGGCTTCTGCTTAATTTAAAGGTGATGAATGGCATGGTTTAATATTCTCATGGGAGATAAACAACACAGGGAGGTCCCTGGGTGAAACTCTTGTCCTAGAATTAATCACTCACCTTGAGAGGCAGCCCTGTTCCAATGTAGCAAAGCTCTGGGATAAGTTTCATTCTCACCTACAATGGTTGCTTCTCCTACAGGAAAAGAAACGAAATACAAATCAGGCATTTAAGAAAAGGCACTAGACTTAATTTTCATTTGCAAAGTAGGGAGGACAGGTGAAGCATAAGTTAAAGAAGAATTAGGATATAAGAATTAAAACAAATGCTGAAATTAGACAATTACTGAACTAAAATAGTGAGTTCAAAGCAATCACCGGATGCAAGAGTGCACTCCTTTGTGAAACATGTTTTATCTATAGAACCAATCATGAGACTATTGAGCCACTTTTCTACACAGTGTTGGGAAAATGGCATTTTTGCATCCACTGTATTTTGAAAAATATATTTATGCAAAGGGCTTAATTTTAAAATGAATGTCAAATCCATTTCTACAGTCAACTCTGGTTATAAAACTAACTTTGATGGCTAAAGTAAAATATTAATAACTTAAGCATGTGTGTTCAGTTCCAGTTATAATAATAAAGAATGTTTCCTAGTAGCTTTTCTTTTTGAACAGATTAAACAGCTCACTGGTATGAACTCGTGCATTCTAAACCTAAGGTAGGAGTAAAATGAACCTTACTCTGATCAAGAATGAAGGCTGCATTGCTTTGTGCCACTTCATAGCCCTGTTCAGCCAGGAGGAGGTACTGGATCACTGCAGCATTGTAATCGCCATCTTTATAGCTGTTATAGGCAGTCATAAGCCTTTCAGACCAACGGCCTCGTTCACATACATTCTTAAACAACTGTGTGAGGTGGGGAATAAAACATCAGTAAAAGAAAATAAGAACGATATACCAGAAAATCACTTACGCACTTTGGCTACAGATAATTATTAAGCTTGCTCTTTCAGTTTCTGGTAGCTTTCTTGAATAGACATAAAAGTTTGAGATACTTATTTAAAGTTTTCACTTACTCTTTAGAAGTCAACGGGTTTATAAAAAAATAACAGTACACAATCATTGTACTACAAAAATGACCATTTACTCTGCCCAGGTACTGTTCTTTTTTTTTTTTGAGACGGAGTCTCGCTCTGTCGCCCAGGCTGGAGTGCAGTGGCGCGATCTCGGCTCACTGCAAGCTCCGCCTCCTGGGTTCACGCCATTCTCCTGCCTCAGCCTCCCAACTAGCTGGGACTACAGGCGCCCACAACCGCGCCCGGCTAATTTTTTGTATTTTTAGTAGAGACGGGGTTTCACCGTGGTCTCGATCTCCTGACCTTGTGATCCGCCCGCCTCGGCCTCCCAAAGTGCTGGGATTACAAGCGTGAGCCACCGCGCCCGGCTTACTCTGCCCAGGTACTGTTCTAATGGTTTATGTGTATTATGATTCTTAATCCTCCCGTGAGGTTCATGAAGGGCCACCCTATGACGTAAGTCCTGTCAACAGCCCCATTTGACAAGTGAGTGAACTAAAGTACAGAGATTTAGAAACTCTGCTAAGCATTTATCAATGTCACTCTAAAGTGCCAGGTCTAAGAAAGAGCTAAGAGGAAAATTTCCAATTAGGAGATCTTAGCATTCCTTTTTGGAACATTCATTCAATTTTTTTCTTTCCTTTTTTTTTTTTTTTTAAAGTGATAGGCTCTTTCCATGTTGTCCAGGTTGGTCTCGAACTCCTGGGCTCAAGCCTCCTAAGTAGCTGGGACTACAGGCATGTGCCACTGTGCCCAGCTCACATTTTTTTTTTTGATGCTGATTATTATCAGATACTGTCTTAGGTGCGAGAGATACTGCAGACACCAATGTCTCCCCTTACACAGTTGATTCTAATAGGGAGAGACTATAATAAGTAAGTATAATAATTACACACTGACCCCTTAGTCTTCCCTCAGTATATCAAAGCTAGGTAGGCTGAGTCTAGAACTATGTAAGAAAACATACCAAGAAAACCAGAATTAAAAGCACAGACTTTCCTGCTGGGCAAATCAACTCCCTATACACAAGCTGGTAGAAAAGACCTTACCTCCACTGCAGTGTGACATGATCGCATCACACCGGTGCCACTGGCATGCATCTGAGCTAGGTTGTAGAAGGCCAAGATGTGGCCTCCCTGAGAAGCTAAATTAAAATACTTCAAGGCCTGTTTATAATCTCTCTTGACTCCAATGCCGTCTGTAAGAAAAAAAAAAATCACATGAGATAATAGACTTAAGATTTAGTTAAGCATCAGAGGAGGCTTATATATGAGGAATAAAACTCTAATGAAAGAATTCTTACTGAGTAAATATGTGAATCTAATACAAATTAGCATATTGATACAGATTAATATAATTTACAATGAAAAACACAAGATGTATAAATCATTGAACTGGCAGAACATTTAACCAGCCAGAATTTGGTAACACCCATTTCCATATCATAACGCCATCCAGAGGAAAACAGCTTAATTTAGATCTTGGTGTATCCACCATTAATTCCAATGTTACTTACTATAGTACATGGAACCAAGCTGTAGTTGCCCATCCACCCAGCCTTGTTCAGCAGCTTTCTGGAAATACTTCAGGGCTAGATCATAATTCTGTAGAAAAAGATGTCATATGATGAGAACGCTCAAAAGGCTGACATACTCAAAAGTTAAGAGATTTATTTAAAAAATGAACAAAGCATATAAAAAAATTCCTGAAGAGCCATTAAAAAGACCACTTTCTAATTCTTATAATAGATAATAATATACATTAAGTCATAGGGGGATTAATATTTAAGGCGGTGAAGAAAAGCAAAAAGGAGTTTTTGTGAAACGATTTGTATGCTGCTCTCAGAAAGCATAAACACTAGTAGAACTTCAGACCAGGAACTAAGAAACAGTCAATCTTCTCTGCTAACCAATTAATCCTTTTTAAACCTCAATTTTCCTAAAATTAAAGAAGGAAAATTCTCTCCTTATTCTTTTATTCCCTGTGTACCTTACCAAACACTACATTATTATTATACTTCAAAGGTCATATGTATCCAAGGAGAAAAGTTAAAATAAAGGTTACTACTGAATTTTAGTGTCCTAGAATGACTACAAGGCCTCAAAATGAGAACACATTACTGTCTTTTGTGTTAGAGAATACCTATAGATATTAAAAACCTAGCTCTTAAACCTAGCTCTTAGTTTCAGCCTCAAATCAAAAGGACATATTACTTGGAAAGATCATATAGAGAAGGCAACAGCAATATGAATCCAGGGACATCCAATACGAGGAGGCTGCACCAAAGGATGAGATGCAATGGCCAAGGAAACCCAGACACAGACAGACCACCAGGGAAGGGAGAGGTCAAGTGAGGTACAACCAAAAAATGTCAATTGGACTGACATTTAGGAGGTTACTGGTGATCTGTACAGACAGTATAGTTCCATGAAGCAGAAGTTCGATTGCTAAGAACTCAAGAGTGAATGGCAGCAGCTTAGTTTGACTCTGAGTGAAGGGCTGGGAGAAGAGAGGTGGTAGCTAGAAGGGGCAAAGGGCAGAACAGAAAGCTTTCCTCCTCCTAAATGGAAGGCAGTTATGTATTTTGTCAGGCTTGAGTAAAAAAGGAGGCAAGGAGATAAAGTCCTGAGAAATGGTTAGAGCAGGTCAGGTAGAGAGCAGAGATGGAAGAACAAGAAACAGTTCCACACCTTTGGGAGAAAGTGCCAGACACAGAGCTGTTCTAAGAGAGCTGAGAGGGTGTCTGTCGGGTGTGGGGTGGTAGTGAGACAAACTCAGACAACAGGAAGAGGTTCAGCTTTGCTTACAATGGAACAGCCCCACCTGGGCTGACTGGAAGCTAATTAAGGAACACGTCCCTACCTCTCCAGCCGACTGATTATTAAAGTCAGAATGTCAGACTGAACACTTACAACTTGAACTCCTCTCCCGTAGAGGTAGGCCATTCCGAGCCCACTCTGTCCAACTGGGTTGCCCTGCAAACCAGAGAAATCAGACAAAAGAGTGAAAAGAATTCATTCAAAAATAGGCAAGAATAAATAACTGCAAAATAAATCATTTGTAAGCATATTCAAAAATGTGTCTTAGTACTTTTCAGTTCAAAACAAAATTTCTTCTCATCAGACTAAACATAATATTTATTGGCTTTTAGACATTTGGGGGCTTTGAGTAATTTGCTGAAAAAGAGTCAAGAGTAAAGTCATTTAGAATTCAATTTTGGTGACTTACTTTATGAACATCTGTACCATGAATTTATGACATAAAGCATGACTAATGTTATTTCATCAAAATGAAAAGCAGGTCACATTTTTGCAGTTTTTCATTGGTAACATCCCACCCCAATAAAGAGGGAAGGTATCAAGGAACATCTTGTAATAAGAGCACAATCATGTAATAATAGCAATGCTGCAATCAGGTGACAAAAATATATACTTAGGATTATTGGAGTGTCATAGAGCAAAGAGAATCACTGTTTTGGGACTAGAAAAAAAAAGAATCTAGCATTTGCCTAAACTTAGAGGGACAGAAGACATCTTTAAAAAGACTGTCACAGCATTCCTTCAGAAAACATTCAAGTGATATCTGGAACTACGGTAACATGTATAATAGTTGACAGAGAGGTAAGTGTACATACTGAAGACATACAAAATTGTAGGTATTCATATGCAGTTTTCTGAGCCAGAGAAAGCCCAAATTATGTACTATGATTATCAAAAGTACCCTATTATGTAAGCTTTTCAATTTCATGTTGCAATATAAATAGGGTAGATTATATAACTTCAAGTTCCATTACTAAAAATCAGTATTTCCCTGATTAGGAAACTTCTCAGTGAAACTTAACAATTAAAAATCAACAGTATGGTCCCTAAGAAAATTGCTTTTTATCAGGAGGGCTTTGTCTAATTAATACATTCACATGAATCATACCTAATAAGCAGTTTCAATAATGTATAGCATGAGTTGGCTATGATTAACCTTTTAATATAACAAATTTATTTATTTAAATATTAGCAATAAGGTACACATTTCAGTACACTGAGACAAAGCCTTACCATGTCAGCAGCTTTCTTAAAGTAGTGGAGAGCTGTCTCATTACTCTGAGGTACAATGTCACTTCCTTCCGAATACATCTGGAAAACAGATCCCAATTTCAGTAAGAGCTGTAACCCTTTCTCGAATTACATTTTTCTCCTTTCTCATCGCCTTTTGGGTTTTGTTAGATCTCATGAAATCTTTCCAAAATATTTAGAATTCCCCACAGGATATTTCAGAATTAAAATCAAAGGCTGGGTACAGTGGCTCATGCCTGTAATCCCAGCACTTTGGGAGGCCAAGGTGGGCAGATCACCTGAGGTCAGGAGTTCGAGACCAGCCTGGCATATGGCAAAACCCTGTCTCTACTAAAAATACAAACATTAGCCAGGCGTGGTGGCATGCGCCTGTAATCTCAGCTACTCGGGAGGCTGAGGCAGCAGCATCACTTGAGGCCTGGAGGCTGCGGCTGCAGAGAACTGAGAGCTTGCCACTGCCCTCCAGACTGGGCCACAAAACATGACCTCATCTCAAAAAAAAAAAAAAAAAAAAAGAATTAAAAGTAAACCCTTAAAAGCAAACATTTTAATAATTATATATTTTGATGCCACCTCAAATTTATGCCTTACTTGTAAACATGAATACATAAAATCAGCTCATATACTAGTCTCAGAAGAAATCTTTAAGCCCAGCATAAATCATTTTTCTCACTCTATTCCAGGGCAGTCAAATGGTTAGTAAGTTGCTTAGGATCAGATCAGTGATTCAACAAGGAAAGGGGGAGCTGCTTGCAGCATTCATTCTTCTTTCTCCTCTACCACTACTTTCCCCAGGATAAGATCACAAGTGGGTCTTAAGTTCAGGAAATGAAGTAACTAAAAGGTTTATTTGAAAAGGGTTTAAACACTAAACGATTAGAGTATCAGGTATGGAGAATGATAAAAGGCCGAGAGAAAGAAAAACAGAATGGTCAAGACCGCCTTTATTCACATACATGTTAAAGAAACAATACATTTAAAAGATAGTTTTTAAAGACAGTGACAGTAATTGAGAGCAAGAACCAAAAGAGGAATGAAAGGTTCTTAAATGCTTAACAAAAACAGATGGGAAATACCAAGTTCCATGCTACGGAACAGCTGGAATATTTAAATGTAGTTACCACACCCCAATTACTAGTATGATCATGAGGCAAATCATGATGAAATTTCCCTGTTGTAAAAACCTTTGTGATATATTCCATCTAAACTTCCTTACTTCAGGATTTACTTAGAAGTGAAAATACCCATTGATTTATAGTATGTTTCAAAATAATAAAAAGTTTTGAGATTCTTCCATGACATATGTAATTTATTTATAAAGTTTCTACACTTAAATGTTCTGTTCCCTTGATTGAGAACATAGCTACAATGAGACGAGGTGGGTCATGGCTACCACATTTAAGACAATTAAAAGCTCTGCAGATAAATTTCAACAAACTCTAATTGCCTCTATTCAGTATGGAAGGAAACAGGCAACTGTGAGAGTCTTAGCAAAAAACTGCACAGCATCAAGAATACGTTCCTCATTATTGCATACAATACACAAAAAGTAGGCGCTCAGTGAGAGTTAATTTCAATGGAGAATTAACATACTGATGAGTAAATAGTATGTTTTTTTTGTTGTTGTTGAGATGGAGTCTCGCTCTGTCACCTAGGCTGGAGTGCAGTGGTGCGGTCTCGGCTCACTGCAAGCTCCACCTCCTGGGTTCACACCATTCTCCTGCCTCAGTCTCCCGAGTAGCTGGGACTACAGGCACCCGCCACCATGCCCGGGTAATTTTTTGTATTTTGAGTAGAGACAGGGTTTCACCATGTTAGCCAGGATGGTCTCAATCTCCTGATCTCATGATCCACCCACCTCGGCCTCTCAAAGTGCTGAGATTACAGGCGTGAGCCACCGCACCCAGCCGCAAACACTATGTTATATTTAAGTTGCCTAAGAAAATGCCTCTGAACAGCACTTTAAGATATAATAGTCGTGCACTAGAAATTTTATTTCCAATTTATTTTTGGTAAATTGTAGATCCTGAACACAATACATGCTAATTATGCAAACACCTCTTGCTATTGCATAAAACATTCACAGGATGTACAGTACCTTTCCCAAAAAGGCCATGGCATGTGAATTGCCAGCATTTGCTGCTAAATTGAAGTAATCAAATGCTCTCTGTGAGAAAAGAATTTATTAAAATAATTAGTTTTAAACAGAATCTGCTTTTGACTTTCAGCCAAAATAATTATTTCAGGAACATTTAAAAAATCTTGTTATATATTACAGTGCTTTAAAAACAAGAATACCCAGTCACGAATATTTTGAAAGAGAAATCGGAACATCTAGAAGTCTTATTTTACCAAATAACTGTACCATTTATCATTAAGTCACTGCATAATTATAGATACAAAGAAATTTCTTATGTCTCCTAAACTTAAGGTCCAAGAAGGCTCCTGTTATTTTTAGGCAAAATGAACATCAGCCTGCTTAAAAGACACATTTAAGAGCAGCTTGACTTCTTTGGTCTATTTCTCTAATGATAACCTGGGAGAAAGGAAAAACTAAGAAGCCTTTCCAAGACATGGAGCATATTTTCATTGTTCTCTAAAGGAATACAATTTCCTCTTGTACTGTTTAGACAAAAATTCTTGACCCTACTTAAAAATCACTTAAGTAAACACACTAGCGTCACAGAAATTCATTATCACCACTCTCAACTGTATTGCCGCCCATTTTTTTTAAGGACCTTGTACCATTGGTTATTCCTCTTCTTTTCCTTGCTGACTTAACTTCTCCCTCTTTTGGAACCAGTTCCCCCTCAACCACATTCTATAATCTCGTTATCAAAAACTAAAACTCAGCAGGGTGTGGTGGCTCTCACCTGTAATCCCTGCACTTTGGGAGGCCAAGATGGGCGAATCACTTGAGGTCAGGAGTTCGAGACCAGCCTGGCCAACATGGTGAAACCCCGTCTCTACTAAAAATACAAAAATTAGCCTGACATGGTGGCATGCACCTGTATTCCCAGCTACTCGGGAGGTTGAGGTGGGACAATCAGTTGAAGCCAGGAGGTGGAGGTTGCAGTGAGCCAAGACTGTGCCACTGCACTCCAGCTTGGGTAACAAAGCGAGATCCCGTCTTAAAAATAAATAAATAAATAAAATAAAAAAACTCAAACCAAAACATACAAGATATGTAGCTCCTTTAGACCCTCAATTTCTCTCCAATGATGACTGTTCTGTTAGCTACTTCCCTTCACAGCCAAGCTTCTCGAATAAATGGTGACATGCACTTCAATTCACTCTGTCATCTAGTCTTAATTGGCTTCCATACGCTACATCAAAAAGACAGCTCGTCAAGGCCACCGATGACCTTCATATTGCCAATCTAAATTTCAGCTCACCTCACTCCACCTTTCTCTGCAACATTTGGCAGAGTCCATCATGGCTTCCTTCTCGACAGACTCTCTGCTTGGCTTACAAGATGTCACACTCTCCTGGTTTCCATCCTAACTCTACGGGTACCACCTAAGTCTCCTTTGCTGGTTATTTTTCTATCAGTTGACTTCTGAACATTAAAGTTCCTCAGGGCTTAGTTTTGGACTCCATTCTCACTTGGCATTCTCTAAGCCAACTCATCTACTCCCATAGCTTCACACACCATCAAGATGATGGCAACTCCTAAATTTGTATTTTCAGCTTCAATCCAGTCTATTCAACTACCTCTGAACACCCTATCCAATGCCTGAACATACCCCTAAAATCTTCTCTCCTTGACCTCAACTTGTTTCTCCTCCAGCAGCTCAATTTAAGCAAATGGCAATACCACCTTATTGGTTGCTTAAGGTATCAGCCCCCCTTCACTCATACTCTATCCATCACTAAGTCCTGTTACATTTACCACCAAATACGTCTTGAATCCATTACTATCTTCCATTACTGTAGTTCTAGTCCAAGCCACATTCTCTCTCACCTGAACTTCTGGAATATTCCCCTCCCTGATCTGCCTGATTTTATTCTTGGGGTCTTCTAATTCATTTTCTATACTGCAGCCAAAGCTCTTTTCAAATCTGAACATGCTGATCTTCGTAGCTCCCTGAAGTGCTACAGGGATATGCTGATGTGATCAGGCATTGCTTATCTTATTTCTGTTTCATGTACTATGGGCAGACCAGCCACATTCCTGTAGTATGGGCAGACTAGCCATATTCCTTCCTGTCTCTGGGTCTATGCACATACTGTTCTTTTTGGCCTGGAAGGACCTTATCTCCAGTGTCAACTAAAATGTTCTCTACTTCTCCTTATGGGAGTCTTCCCTGCCAAGTGGTACTTCCTATCCATTAACCAATTATTGTATCTTTTGAATTTCCTTTGTAAGAATAACCACAATTTATATTTGGTGTGATCATTTAAAAAATATCTAATGCTCCTATTAAAGCTCCAAAAGGGGAAAGACCAAAATTATTTTGTCCAATATTGCATCCTGCAGTGAATGGCACATAGTAGGCACTAGTATTTGTATTTTTCAGCTTTCTTAGGGGTTGGTTACATCTTGAAAGCTCATTTGTGATGGGTGTTTAAATGACACAAGTTTGATACTGGCATTGACTCAGCAAGAAATATATTGAGAACATCATTTCCTGCTATAACTGAGGTGCAAAGCCCTAGGAACAGGGTAGTTACCTGATGATTCTGTTCTACTCCACGTCCTCCGTGCAGATGCAGTTGTCCCAGACCAACCTGAAAATGATCACAAACAAGGCAAAAGTAAGTGGTAGCATCTGGCACACAATTAAAATCAAACCAACAAGAAATGATTTGATCGTAAAATGGTTTCTGTTCAGGACTCAAAAAACTAAAAGATTTAGTCTTAACTCCTGAAAATGTTATTCTACTTTAACCTAAAAATTTTGAAAAGTAAAAACGTATACTTGTAATTGCGAAGCACCATTTGCGGCCAGGTGCTGTGGGTCACACCTGTAACCTCGACACTTTGGGAGGTCAAAGGTGAATCACTTGAGCCCAGGAGTTCAAGAACAACCTGGGCATCATCGCAAAATCCTGTCTCTACAAAAAAATAGAAAAATTAGCCGGGCGTGGTAGCATATACCTGTAGTCCCCGCTACTTGAAAGCCTGAGGTGGGAGGATCACCTGAGCCTGGAGAGGTCAAGGCTGCAGTGAGCTGTGTTGTGCCACTGCACTCCAGCCTGGGTGACAGAGAGAGACGCTTTCTCAAATAAAACACAGGCTAGGCACAATGGCTCATGCCTGTAATCCCAGCACTTTGGGAGGCCAAGGCGGGTGGACTCTCTAAGGTCAGGAGTTCAAGACCAGTCTGGCTAACATGGTGAAACCCAGTCTTTACTAAAAATGCAAAAATTAGCTGGGCGTGGTGGTGGACGTCTGTAATCCCAAATACTTGGGAGGCTGAGGCAGGAGAATTGCTTGAACCTGGGAGGGAGAGGTTAAGGTGAGCCAAGATCATACCATTGCACTCCATCCTGGGCGACAGAGCAAGACTTCGTCTCAAAAAACAAACAAATGAACAAACAAAACAAAAACCAAAAACACAAAGTATCCTGCTAAAGTGGAGGTGAAATCAAGGCATTTTCACATAAATTAAAACTGAATTTGTCCCCAGTGAACCTGCTCTAAAGGAAATACAAATGGGTGCTCTTCAGAAAGAAAGAAACTTACTAGAAGCTGGGAGATACACAGTAAGAAATAAGAGCTGGCCAGGTGTGGTGGCTCATGCCTATAATCCCAGCACTTTGGGAGGCTGAGGTGGGCAGGATCACTTAGGCCAGGAGTTCAAGATCAGCCTGGCCAACATGGTGAAACCCCATCTCTACTAAAAATACAAAAAGTAGCTGGGCATGGTGGTGGACGTCTGTAATCCCAAATACTTGGGAGGCTGAGGCAGGAGAATTGCTTGAATCTGGCAAGCAAGAGGTTACGGTGAGCCGAGATAGTGCCACTACACTCCATCCTGGGTGACAGAGCAAGACTTCATTTCAAAAACACAAACAAAACAAAAAACAAAAACACAAAGTATCCTTCTAAAGTGGAGGTGAAATAAAGCATTTTCACATAAATTAAAACTGAATTTGTCCCCAGTGAACCTCCTCTAAAGGAAATACACAAATGGGTGCTTTTCAGAAAGAAGGAAAATTACTAGAAGCTGGGAGATACAGTAAGAAAGAGCTGGCCCAGTGTGGTGGCTCACGCCTGTAATCCCAGCACTTTGGGAGGCCGAGGTGGGCAGGATCACTTAGGCCAGGAGTTTAAGATCAGCCTACCAACATGGTGAAACCCCATCTCTACTAAGAATACAAAAATTAGCTGGGTGTGGTGGTGCATGCCTGCATTCCCAGCTATTTGGGGAGGTTAAGGCACCAGAATCGCTTGACCCCAGGAGGCGGAGGTTGTAGTGAGCCGAGATAGTGGCACTGGGCAACAGAGCAAGGATCTGTCTCAAAAAATAAAAAAAAAAATAATAAAAAGCAATGAAAAGGTAAATTTGAAAATAAATATAAATTAATATGGACTGTACAAAACAACAGTATCTCATGGTACCAAAAGATATAAAATCAAACACACACAGAATACTCTGAGATCTCTGTGCTGTCCTGGAAATGGTAAAAGTGCTCATTGTACCAGACTTTGGTAAGTCAAGGATGCATGTTGTGATTGCTAGATAACCACTACAAGAGTAGCCATCATGCTAGCAGAGGGGAAGAGATGCGACAGGAAAAAGCACTCAAACCAAAAAAGGGCAAGAAAGGAGAGAAAAGTAAACACGAAAAGCAAGATACACAGAAAGCAAGTAAAACAGAAAATTTTAAGTAAATTAAATTTTACATTAGTGTAAAAATAAGATGTTGAACAAGTTTATTATAAGTCTATCAGCTAACATTTAGATCTACCTTTCACTACGTTTTTTTTTCTTAAGACTCCACTGCTAGTCTTAAAACCAACTGTTCTTAATAAGTATCTAATGCTCATCTGTACATGTCCTAAATTAGAAATAATTGCAAACTTAGTGGAAAAAAATGTAAATGTTAAAGTTCTTTTTATTTTAATATTAAAAGAAGCCACAAAACGTGTGTGTGCACACATGGCACTTTGATGGACATTATACAATTTCCATTAAACGAGCTTACTTCTGTTCTTGACCTTGAGGAAATTATGATTTAAGATGAGCAGAAGAAAACATGAACGGTAAATAGCTCTGAAGAGCATGTGATATTGCAAATATTCCAGGGACTTCTTGTTTACAGAAAGTGACAGTTTTCATCATTGGTGACTCTAGTAAGAGCCTTCATCGTCGGTGTTAATGCTGCTCTGTTCAAGCAGTGATTTTTCAGCGGCAGTACATGGGAGAGTCACCTGGACAGTTTCAGGAACCAACGCCTAGGTCCCATCCCACACTAACCGAAATGGAATATCCTAAGAGTGTGAGACTCTTGGTATTTTTTTTTTAAGGGGCTCAGGTGATTCTAATATGTAGTTCATAATTGCTCAGGGCAATGAAAATGTAACTTACAGATATAAGTGCTTGCTCCTGTCCCCCACAGATTAAAATACACAATGCAGTAAAGATACTTGGTGAGATGTTTAAACACGTACCTGTGCTTGCACATCACCTTTTTCAGCTAGGAACTGGTAATATTGAATCAAATCTTCTTCTAGCATTCCACTGTTCATTCCTGGATTTTCCACTTCATCAGGCAGCCGTATTCTCTGTACTACTGAGCCTCCTGTTAGCGAGATATCACTAGCAACTGAAATAGAGGGATAAAATAATACGGTTGAGGAAAATCAGAAGAATTGTTCCAGAGAGAAGTACAATTCTAGCTACCAAACGCTGACAAACACAATGTTAAAGGAATCTGTTTTTACGGTAGTCTATATAGATCGCAAATCAGTAATCTATTAATAAATTGAACTTTTTTCACAACATAAATAGAACCTAAAGCAAAAAATTATATAAAAAAAAGTACTTCTGAACCTTAACTAGTTTAAAGATGAGTCTACATAAAACAGCCATTTATAACACTTCAAATAGAACAATAAAAATAGAAATGTTTAAAGTTAATTTCATTTATTTTTTTTTTCCCTGAAAGGTAAAAGGGAAAACATAGATACCATGATTGGCAACAAGACGATAGTGAGTCAGTGCAGATTCACAACTCTGGAGGACGCCAATGCCAGCCCAGTATCTGTAACCCTGTAAAACAACTTCACGTGAGGAGGCAGCAGTTTCACGTACCTCAGTGGCATTCTTCGTGGAACAAATCAAGCTAAGCATCCCCAGAATTTTGCTGTCATTTGATCCAAGTACACTAACACCTTATTTATGCTAAGTTTTAGGTTTTGAGGTAATTTATTCAGCAACTTCAACAAGAAGGCCATAGCTAAGAACAAATAAATAAATAATGTAGTTCCTAGAGCAATCAAAATAGATGTTACAAACTTTATTTTTCAAGTGTGTGCATTTTACTCGTAAGAGAAAAATTGTAAGGGCTTTTGCTTGGAACCAGTTTTAATCTTAAGACACAATTTTATCAAAAATGAGTTAATCTTCCAAATTAGAAAAGAAAAAGTAACAGCAAAATAGGGAAAATGAGACTACTGGAAGAAGGCAAAGTGCCACTAGCAATAAATGACCAGAATAAATGGGAAGATAGCTAATCATGAAGAGTAAAAAACAGAAAGTAGAGCTCTCTGGAGTCATTCTGCACAAATAACTTCATGAACTTTAACAATCTTTAGGGCACTGTTGCAAAATAATGTATAATATTTCACGTTCTTTTTCTATAGCCACTATTTATAAAATTTTGAAAAACTAAAGTTTTAAAAATTATGATAATCTAATTAAAAAATGATTCTGACAATTCCAACTCAGAGAAAATTTAAAAAGAGACATTTATCAGATCGCTCTTTTTAGGGGCAATCAGCCAAACTAATCATTTTAAAGAAAAATTGTGGACGCCACCGATTTTCATTTACATGTAGATTCCATGTGTTATATCCATTAACAAGAATTTGAAGGAAGTTCAACTGAGTATTTGGTATTAATACAAGCAAATCTCGATCATGAAAGCTGAAAAAGTTGTGGCTGCTATAAACCACAAATTCTTCTGATATTAATGTTATTAGCCTTCTACTAAAGTCTACTTACCAAAACCATGTGGGCTATTAGATTGCCCCCAAGAGCTCCAAATGTATAATATACAAGAGCCTGTGAAAGAACAAACAATGTTTAACTGAACACAGGCACACATTTATTCAATTCAAACTGTAACATGCAATAAAGTTTTAATAGTATTACCTTTGCCTGACTTGAATTAACACCAAGTCCAGAGGCATAGAGAAAGCCAAGAGCCTGAAATAAATGATAAAGTAAGAAATCTTGAGTTGGTGAAGGTATATCCAAGACAGACACAGTTTTATATACTACTAAAAAATGCAAGAGTCTTTAAATGCTAAAAGACTTGAATTCAAGTATGTACAAACGTGGATTAAGGAGCCTTGGAAAAGCATTCAGGGTTTTACACATTACACAATTAAATTAAATGTAACATTAAAAAAAATTTTACTTATTTGTGGCCTTTTTTTTTTTTGAGACAGAGTCTCACTCTGTCATCCAGGCTGGAGTGCAGGGGCGTGATCTTGGCTCACTGCAACCTCTGCCTACTGGGTTCAAGTGGTTCTCCCACCTCAGCCTCCCGAGTAGCTGGGACTATGTAGAGGCGTATGCCACCATGCCCGGCTAGTTTTTGTATTTTTTGGTAGAGACAAGGGTTCACTATGTTGGCCAGGCTGGTCTCGAACTATTGACCTCAAGTGATCCACCCACCTCAGCCTCCCAAACTGCTGAAATTACAGGCGTGAGCCACTGTACCCGGCCACAATCAAATGTAACTTTTTTTTTTTCATAATTGAGATTTTATTGGTTGAAGATCAGTACAGACATTTCAATTTGTACATAATTCTTAACATATGTAACGAAATTCTAAAAAGCCATGTATTGTAATTCTTTTTTAAAGTTATTCTAGTGACTTTCCAGCTTAAAATTTGGAAGCAAATTTTCCTTAAGAGGGTATCAAGTACCAGTATCTTCACATGTTGCTCAGCTGTTACATACGGCCCACCAGTTCACAACTGAATAGCATGTACACTACATATTCAAATCTGTAATCTTTCACAGCACAGTAACAAAGTTACTAGGAAAACAGGACTACCACAACCAAACATGTTACAGAGTGCACACAATTCCGACAGGGAGCGCCATGATCGAGGAGTGCTTTTCTTTAGGAAACAATTCTACTAAAAAACAACATGAGAATGGAAGTAATTTAAAATGTTCAAGACATTAAATGCAGGACTGACTCCATATTGCCATTTAATATGCTTTGTATTATAGGATGTAAAAACTAACCCCCATGTATGGAATGTTAAGCTGACACCCGAGATAGTCAAAGCCTCCCATAATTCAATATCCCACACTATTTTCTGGTTGTACCAAAAAATAACCAGCAAATGATTTCACCTCTTAAAAAAAAGCATTTACACTTAAAAAATGGGATGAGGTGGGATTCCCTCCTTCTTAAAAATGTTTCTAGAGCTACTACAAAACTTGCATTTACAAAATAGTTGATAAAAATATTCCTCTGGATTGTACAAGAAGGGAGACAGGGACCACTGGGAAGACATGGTATATGGTATTAATCAGACTTGGCTTCTTTCTCTCCTGCTTCATCAGAGGCTGGACTCTCCTCAGTTATCGTTTCTCCGCTTTCTGCAGGTAAATCTTCTTCAGTTTCTTGGTTAGCCACTTCGGCCTGATTTCCCTTTGCTCCACTTTTCCCTTTTGTTTGCACTGTTTGGTCTGAAGATCTATCCTTTGCTGCTGCCTTTTTCGGTTTCGCTTCCACTTTTGCAGGAGGTTTAGCTGACAACCGTGCCAATCTCCTCTTGGGCTCTTCCTCGGCGGCCCCTTCGGCAGAGCTGACCTTCCTCCTGGGCATCCTGGTGGCAGGGAAGGCGTGTGCCGGGTGCCTGCGGGCCGCGGCGCGCGGAGAGCCTTGGCGAAACTGGGCTGCCTGGCCACTACCACTCCTCCGGCAGCGCGAGCTTCTGAGACCCACAGCGGGGGCGGTGGGAGAACCAGATCAAACGTAACTTTATTTTTATTATTTTTTTCGAGACAGAGTCTTGCTCTGTCGCCTAAGCTGGACTGCAGTGGTGCAATATCGGCTCACTGCAGCCTCTGCCTCCTGGGTAAGCAATTCTCCTGCCTCAGCCTCCCGAGTAGCTGGGATTATAGGTGCTGCCACCATGCCCAGCTAATTTTTTTTTTGTATTTTTAGTAGAGACGGGGTTTCACCATGTTGGCCAGGCTGGTCTTGAACTTTGACCTTGTGATCCGCCCGCCCTGGCCTCCCAAAGTACTGGGATTACAGGCGTAAGTCACTGCGCCCAGCCAAATGTAAGTTTAAACAACAAACGTTTAGCTTGAAAACAATATTAACTAGAAAGACAAAGCTGAATACATGTAAACATGACTTTATGAACAACCATTATGAAGACAACTCCCATTATCGGTACATCAGCATATTTCTCTATATATGCAGACAGGAATACACTATGAAAACAGAGAAGATACGAATTACCAAGATAAACTATCCCAGATATAAAAAGAGGCAGCAAGGGGTCAAGTTGAAGGGGTCCAGGGAGAAAGGCTGCTCTACAATGTTAGAGCACACATCATTTTCTAAAAATAAAAACAAAAAAATGGAACAAACAATGCACTGGTGAAGTTCAACCTTTTCAATCCTTTGCCTTCTGTGGATCGTCCTTGTTGTTGGAAAGTATAAGCTAACGTGACAAAGGCAGGTGTGGCAGAGACTGCAGTGCTCACTGAAATCATGAGCTCCTCTACATTTCCCAGCCTCTCTGGAGAATCACATGCCTGGGATATGGCTGTCAGGGATGTAAGCCTGAAAACATTCTAATGAATCCTGAGGCTCTCTTTTCTCACTTCATTGTGGCGTGGAAGCCCCGTGTAGCAATCAGTGTAGCTACATAACAGAAACAGCCCATGACCAGGAGTCACTATTCAGAAAAGAGTGACGCCAACAGGAGAGCTACATCAAATCTAGCATGAGCAAGAAACAACTCTCTGTTATTTCAGACAGTTGTAGTTAAGCCACTGTGATTTTCTGGTTTTGTCTGTTGCATCAACTAGAATTAATTTTCATGGAGAGAATGCTTTGCAACATATAAAGTGCTGTGGTTTTGTAAGGTTCTAATATTAGAGGGAACTGATGCCTTATAAAGTAAAACTGTTCTTCAGAGCAGAACGCCTCTGAAAATAAAGAATATATATGTTTTTATACAAACTGATTCATGCAAAGAAGGGAAAAAGTTTTGAAAACAAAAGGGAACCATTAAGATATAATCTGTTTATAATAAAATACTGAGGAAAGAGCTGCAGAATTGTTAGGTATTCAGTTTTAAGAAAACAATTGCTATGACTCCTGTTATTGGTCATATAGTTTGAAAACAGACTTTCCTCGTGATTAGATATTTCATTAATCTTTAAGCAAGTCTCACAGCTTGAATAAACTTGAATTATTGAAGGAATTTTAAATAAATATGATGGTCCCCTAAATCTAGGTGTCAATCTTAGCATTATTAATGGGGAAACAACCAGATATGTTATCAACTGATGTGATACAATGTAGAATACAGAACATCCCTTGTAATGTAGTCTGGCCAAAAATATTTTACTTGTGTTCATCAGCTTTTAGCTGTGACATCCTATTGACAGGAAATACAGGTGATGAAGAAACAAACTAAAAGCCACCATGAAAAAACAAACTGAAGTAGGATATTCTGCAGAAAAACTGTGCCTATCTCTAATACAGACAAAAAAGGCACTGGGGTATACTAGATAACAACAAAATGAAAGGTCGAGTCCTGGACTGAATACTGGTTTGGACAAAACAGGTATAAAGAAAATTTTGGGGTTCAACATCATATGAACATAGTATGGATATTATGTGACTTAAAATGTGCTGGGATGAAAAGGTGAAGTTCTAGAACAACAGACAGTGATATCTCATTTTAATAAAAATATCATGTGTATATATACACAAAGAGAAAGATCTATTATAGAAGGATATGCATGCACTAATATATTATTACTCATATTTGGGTGGTACATATGTGATGTGTACTTCTTTTGTTAGTTTGTATTTCTAGTTTCCTATAATGGACATGTACTGCTTCTGTAATAAAATACTTTTTTTAAAAAAACCCAAGATTAACATGAGCTGCAACATCTGAACTTTGGAAAAATGCAATGGTGAGTAATTTCAGATAAAAAATAATTAGCTTCATATTTCATTCTCTACAGATCTAATTTGGAAAACTACAAATGTAATTGTGGCAAGGCACAACTGCAAAAATGTCTTCACTGACTATAAATGTTCCCAGACTAAGGAAAAAGACTATCCAAGAAGACTGATAAAATGGTTAGCCACAAAATTAGTATTTAAAGATACTTTATCTTTCAGTCTGACTTTTTAAAAGAAGTCAGGACATAAGAGAGTAAATTGCTTTTAAAATGAACAAGTGCTACATGCAGAGAGATTCTTCACTGAGAATGTACTTACAGTCTGTCCCTTGGGAGAGCCTTCCTCAGTCAGCTTCTCAAACATCTCTCTCGCTGCCTGGATATTCTGTGGCAAGTAATCACCAAATAAAAGAGCATATGACACTCTCTCCAGGGCTTTGGTATGGTTCATGCCTGCTGCCTTCTGAAGATACCGATAAGCTCTTTAAATGTAAACAATTAAAAACCAAATTAGTAATGTTCTGAAACTGCCATTAAGTTTTTTTGATCTACTAAAATGCAGCATAATTTCTTTATGTTACAAAACCCCTTTGATAACCTTTTGAGATACGGAGTTTCACTCTTGTTGCCCGGCTGGAGTGCAATGGCATAATCTCGGTTCACTGCAACCTCCACCTCCTGGGTTCAAGCAATTCTCCTGCCTCAGCCTCCTCAGTAGCTGGGATTATAGGCGTGTGCCACTGCACCTGTCTAATTTTGTATGTTTAGTAGAGATGGGGTTTCACCATGTTGGTCAGGCTAGTTTCAAACTCCTGGCCACCTCAGCCTCCCAAAGGGCTGGGATTACAGTCATAAGCCACCATGCCCAGCCACCCCCTCTGATAAATCTTATTTCTATTTGGTCATGTTACTTATATATGTAAAAAACATCCTGCTTTTTTATTAAAAAAAATTTTTTTTGAGACACGGTCTTCCTCTGTTCCCCAGGCAATCACAGCACACTGCAGCCTCTCTACCTTCTAAGATCAAGTGATCCTCCCACCTCAGCCTCCAAGCAGCGGGACCACAGTGTGCACCATCATGCCTGGCTAATTTTTAATTATTTTTTTAGAGACAGGGTTGCACTATGTTGCCCAGATTGGCTGGCTATTTTGTTTTTCATATGAAGTACCAGTTCTCCCTGTTATCCTAATATCTTGAAATAGTCTAATTATACTAACAGTAATTCTATTACTTTACTTTTCTATTAAAAAAAGTTCACCAGATTTGCAGTAAGAGATTACAATATGATGGTGTCCAGTATATGATCTAAAAATAACCATTGCAATTTTCTTTTTAAATCTTTGCAGACTATAAAAATGTCAGCTGAAATTAAAAGGACATAAGATGTTACGAGATAATCACTTGTTCTGTTTTTTTTCCAAGCACAAATTCCTAAATTCCAGTCAAAAATTACAAAGCAAAACCAAAAAAACGTACTTGACAACAATTCTTTTTGTTTTATGTCATTTTGAATTATAAATAGTATATGCATTCTTGGTTCTTAGAAACTACTACAACTTGAGTCAATCATTGCCATTTTACTCACTGTTATTGTAATCAGTATGTGTAACAATTTTACCTTAACAAACTAAAGTGTGGTAAAAGCAATGCTACTAATGCCCGCAAGTCATATTACGTTTTCTTGTAATGGAACTTAAAAAAATCTTCTGTGTCTCTGGTAGTCCATTTTTTAAATAATGTAGTTGCTATTTGTCTCAGTAATGGCCTGTCTTGGGGGAAAAGTGGACTTAGCAGTGCTACCTACTCTCTTTTTTGGCTTTTCTTATTGCTTCCATTAAGGATTTTCATTCCAGTTTGATACATCATTTCTGCTTCCTGCATCTGCCGTCTCTTAGCAGCCTCTTCTTCAGCTAAAAACAAAATGTCAGATGCATTTAAATGGATTTTAATTCTACACCAATTATCAACCATAAGTATTTATTCTTTCTTTTGGGCAGTCATACAAACGTAATGAATGATCTTTCACTATTCTCAAGTACGATTCTAAAAACACTTACGTGTGGCCTTTACATGACACAAGACAAAACTTAAAAAAAAATATATATATAATTCATTGAAATCACTTTCTTATAGAAATACCAATACCAAGCTACTCTTAGAGGGTACTTTTCTGTTAGAAATGCTAACTTTTAAAAATATAATTCAACTAAAATTTCAGATTATATGTGATACGGTTTGGATCAGTGTCCCCACCAAATCTCACACTGAACTGTAATCCCCAGTGTTGGAGGTGGGGCCTGGTGAGAGGGATGGTTTCTCATGAATGGTTTAGCACCATCCCCTTGGTGCTGTTCTTGTGATAGTAAGTTCTCACGAGATCTGGTCATTTAAAAGTATGTGGCACCTTGCTCCTCACCATCTCTCTTGCTCCTGCTCCCACCATATGAGATGGCTGCATCTCACATGGAAGTTTCCCAAGGCCTCGCCAGAAGCCAAGCAGATGCCAGCATCATGTTTCCTGTACAGCTTGCAGAACCGTGAGCCAATTAAGCCTCCTTTCTTAATAAATTTCCCAGTCTCAGGTATTTCCTTATAGTAGTGTGAGAATGGACTAATACAACATGCCAAGGTCAGCTAAAATAAGGTCTGGACATTAGAACACAGTAGTCAGAAAAATGCTGTTATATCCAAAGGACACTTTAGCTCTATTGGAAATACTGTGTATCTTTATGAGGATAAAATATTTGATTAACTATATAATACAAATTAGTAAAAAATTGATTTTTATTAAATATAGAAACTGATTTAATGTTCAAGTTCACCAATTTTTCAAAATCATATAACACTGAAAATCACAGAACTGTTAAAGATTTTTCAAAAGTTATTTTGCTACTATAAGAACTCATCAAAAGAAACATATTTCATTAGAACCAGTATTTATAGAAACAGAAGCAAATTCTTCTTATAATATAAAAAAATGCATTAACTGGAGTACCCAGTCACACTGGCCTACATCTAAAGATGGACTATATTTGATGTGCTTCCTCTTTTAGGATTGCCCAAATACTCTGTAAAAGCCATTTTTTAAAAAAAATTGGTATTTAATGGGTTATGTTCAAGATTTTCTGTTGTTTTTTCATAGTTAGGAAGTTTTTCCTGAACATAGCTTTCCTTAGAGGTCAGCATCTTTATAATGACATTAACACTAAAGATGGTTAAATATACTGTATTTGTCAAATGTTACCCTGGCATAGCATATTTCACTCTAAGTATTTTTTAAAAGTTATTTATTTTTCTTCTAATCACTATTAATCTTCTCCGTAATGGCCCAGTTTCCTTTACTGTCCCCCAAAAGTTTTATGTTAATTTACCAGCCTGAAGGGTTTAACAAAACCACCTGTGTATACCAACGGAAAACCATCTCCAAAAAAAACGTGAGTGTGACTTGAATGACACAGCCTGAAACTAAATACACCATATGCTTCCCACTCTTAAGTCCACTCTTTAAGGCTATAACGACATTAGCAATGTTGGCCATTTCTGACCAATGTGGAAAAGGATGACTAGAAAAAGGCCTTAAAAACATTGCCCTAAACATAAAGCAATGCAGATCTGCCTCCTACTGAGCAATACTTACTTTCACAAAAGCCCCACTTTTCATCTGCTTTGTAGTCATAGGTTGTAGCACACCACAGTCTGCCATCTTCCCTCCCATCTGATGTACATTCATCATATTCCTTATCCAGGAAAAGAAAAGGGAAGTGGCAGGGCTCCCCATGTGCTGTGCCTTCAATGGCGGTCAAAGCTGGAATGACAAGAAATAAAAATCTCAACATGAACACCTCTGGTATTCATGGATTCAATGCCATCAATTTTGGCTGTTAGAATTTGAAGCAAAGATTCATGATGCCTGATTTGTAATCGGGAACATAAAAGGGCTAGCAAAGATTTTGATTAGGGAGGACTTGGTTTAGTTAATTTAGTGAGCATGGCTAGCTGATTACTTAGCATCTGTGTCTAGGTTAGACTTTCTGAAGTTCCTGATATATAACCTTAGAATATTAAAAGTCTACTGTAAAACTCCCGCCCGAAAAGCAAGCACAAAAAATAGGCAAAATGCAAGTGAATCAATTCTACTGCTCAGCAAAGCTCTCCTTGTTTCTGAATGCCAGAAGTCAATTTCTTCAGTAATACAGAGTTATATAGGGAAAATGCTCCCCCCAAGGCAAAGTTAACCACTCACACACTCCTCTGCAATCCTGTGGCATTTTATTACAGTACTTATCCCATGTATGGAAGTTACTTCTTTACCATACTCTGGTTCTCATTGGACTTTGAGCTTGTAAAGGGTAGAGACTGCATCTGTAATTTATTCTATAAATTATTTCTGAGTATCTCTTAGGTGTCGGAAATCATGCGAGGTGCTAGAAATGAGGTGGATCAGAGGTCTCTGCTACACACAACTTGCTGCCTAGCCAGGATGGGAGATATTAAGCAAATGTGTGATGGATGCTATGGAAAGGAAAGCCTCCCCTCTCAGGAACTGAGGTTTCAACTGAACCTCAAGGGCGTGCAGGAGGAGCAGTGAATGAAAGGCTCGGGGGTGGGGTGGGTAGGAGTACTCTAACAGGTGCTAAGGTGACAAAAATCAATGAGTGGCAAAGTGGACAAGAGAAGAGGCTAAAGCAGCACGAGGAAGCCAGACTGGGGAAAACCTTACAAGTCTTAATAAGGAGTTCGAACTTTTATCCTGAGAACAACGGAAACTCACTGAAAAGTTTTGCGTAGGAGTGACATGCTCACATTTTATGAAAAGAGTGGAAAGTATGTAAAAAGTAAGGCTGGATGTAAGGTGACCAGTTTAAAGGTTGTAACAGTAGTCTGAGAGGCATTGGTAGCCCAGAGAGGGGAATGGAATGGAAGATGTGGATGTACTCAAGTGATGTTAAGGAGGTAGATATGGTACCACTTTCTAGATGTGTGGATAAGAGGAAAGTTGAGTCAAGGAAGACACCCAGATGCTTTAGGGGTACATACATGGTTGCCCTTACTAAGATACAGAATTCTAAAGGAGGAGTAGGTTACCGGGTAGGTACTGCTATATTCAAGGTGGCTACTAAACAAACAAACAAACAACAAACAAACAAAAAAAAACCCCACAAAAAACAACAGCAAAAACAAAAAAAATCACAAGTGAAAATGTTTTAGACATGTTTCAGTCATAGATAAAAAAAAAAAAAAAATTCTCCAGTACACAGATAATAGTTGAATTCAAGGGTATGCATAAGAATGCTACATGAGATGTATATGAGAACACCAGAGGTCCAGGACTAAGCCTAAAACCATACACAGTAGGTATGAGCCCATGTCAACTTCCACTAGTCGCTTTTACATGGAGAATTTAATTGGGTAGCAGAGCTTGGTGATGAAGGGTCTAGGTTCTGGAGTCAGAACATTTGATGCAAATCCTACCACTTATTAGCTGTGTGCTTGGAGCAAATTATTTAATCTCTTAAGATTACTTAGCGATAACTTCCTTATCTCCAAATAGGAATAACAGTCCTTATTGCATTGGGTTGTTTGCAAAGAATGACTGAGATAATACATGTAAAGGATTCATTATGGTGCCTATCACTTTAGGTAATAAGAGTCCAAGAGATGACAGCTGCTATTATTATTATGGGCACCCCCGCTCTGAAGGCTAGAAAGTATCCCTTCTTTCTTTGCAGTGTAAAAAAAGGCATATCCTACTATACTAATTTTAAAAATATTTTCAATAAGCTATGAGAGACAAAATGAATTTCAAATGGTTTACACCAAGTAAATGTCACTCATCCTGGTAATAAGAGGCAAATAACTTTTTTACCTTTGCTTTGTCTATGTTTTAAAGCTGGAGGGATCATGCTACCTGACTTCAAACTATACTACAAGGCTACAGAAACCAAAACAGTATGGTACTGGTACCAAAACAGAGATATAGGCCAATGGAACAGAACAGAGTCCTCAGAAATAATACCACACATCTACAGCCATCTGATCTTTGACAAACCTGACAGAAACAAGAAATGGGGAAAGGATTCCCTATTTAATAAATGGTGCTGGGAAAATTGGCTAGCCATAAGTAGAAAACTGAAACTGGATCCTTTCCTTATTCCTTATACGAAAATTAATTCAAGATGGATTAGAGATTTAAAATGTTAGACCTAATACCATAAAAACCCTAGAAGAAAACCTAGGTAATACCATTCAGGACATAGGCATGGGCAAGGACTTCATGTCTAAAATACCAAAAGCGACGGCAACAAAAACCAAAATTGACAAATGGGATCTAATTAAATTAAAGAGCTTCTGCACAGCAAAAGAAACTACCATCAGAGTCAACAGGCAACCTACAGAATGGGAGAAAATTTTTGCAATCTACTCATCTGACAAAGGGCTAATATCCAGAACCTACAAAGAACTCAAACAAATTTACAAGAAAACAAACAACCAACCCCATCAAAAAGTGGGCAAAGGATATGAACAGATACTTGTCAAAAGAAGACATGCATACAGCCAACAGACACATGAAAAAATGCTCGTCATCACTGGCCATCAGAGAAATGCAAATCAAAACCACAATGAGATACCATCTCACACCAGTTAGAATGGCAATCATTAAAAAGTCAGGGAACAACAGGTGCTGGAGAGGATGTGGAGAAATAGGAACACTTTTACACTGTTGGTGGGATTGTAAACTAGTTCAACCATTGTGGAAAACAGTATGGTGATTCCTCAAGGATCTAGAACTAGAAATGCCACTTGACCCAGCCATCCCATTACTGGGTATATACCCAAAGGATTATAAATCATGCTGCTATAAAGACACATGCACATGTATGCTTACTGCAGCACTATTCACAATAGCAAAGACTTGGAATCAACCCAAATGTCCATCAGTGACAGACTGGATTAAGAAAATGTGGCACATATACACCATGGAATACCATGCAGCCATAAAAAAGGATGAGTTCGTGTCCTTTGTAGGGACATGGATGCAGCTGGAAACCATCATTCTCAGCAAACTATTGCAAGAACAGAAAACCAAACACCGCATGTTCTCACTCATAGGTGGGAATTGAACAATGAGATCACTTGGACTCGGGAAGGGGAACATCACACACTGGGGCCTATTATGGGGATGGGGGAGGGGGAAGGGATGGCATTGGGAGTTATACCTGATGTAAATGATGAGTTGATGGGTGCTGACGAGTTGATGGGTGCAGCACACCAACATGGCACAAGTATACATATGTAACAAACCTGCACGTTGTGCACATGTACCCTAGAACTTAAAGTATAAAAAAAAAAAAGGGATCTCTAATGCAATGTATAGGCAAGGAATCCTTTAGTAACAACTTCAGAGGAGTCATTCTGACTACAGAATTTGGAAAGGACATCCCTATACACTGCTACTAGATCCAAACCTGCCGCTGCTTTAGAAAGACAGTGTCTGAGAGCCAGGCATGGTGGCTCACGCCTGTAATCCCAGCTTTGTGGGAGGCTGAGGTGAGCGGATCACTTGAATCCAGGAGTTTGAGACCAGCCTGGGCAACATGGTGAAATCGTCTCTACTAAAAATTCAAAAAATTAGCTGGGCGTGGCAGTAGACACCTGTAGTCTCAGCTACTTGGGAGGCTAAGGCAGGAGGATCACTTGAACCTGGGAGGCGGAGGCTGCAGTGAGCTGAGAAAGTGTCTGTAGAACTGCAGTTTGTAAACCTGAATTTCAAATTAAATAGCAAATGACGGTTTAAAAGAATACTTCTATGATAATAGAAATCTTTGTCTTAAAAACAAATAGCTTATCGTAGGAATTCTAGTTTGCCAAAACTTATATTTTCTAAGTATTTCAAATATATGAAATAATTCCTTTTCATGTGATGAACTATATGACAGAAAAGAAACCGGAGAGAGTAAAAAATTTTTTGACAACAAAAGGTTTTCATCTACTGCTGATTCAGCACTGACATAAGCAGGAAGAAACCCCATGAGGCACTTGCTTCAATTTAGTCAAAACTGCAACCTGTCAAAATAAATCATTAGTGAGTTACTACAATGAAAATTTGTTTCTCTCAGCTACCTTCTCCAAGGGAAATCACAATATGGAAAGTGTTATTACTTTTTAAACTTGTTCTAAAATCTTCCAAAAGTTATTGGTTGGGACTCCCTAGTTTCAAATTGATTATCTCAAACAGAAACTCCTCACAATAGTTTTAATTTCAGTTAATTTTCTTTCTATGGAGAAATTCTGCAATAATTTCAAAGCCATCCTTTTAAAAACCTCCACAAAAACAGTGTCAATTTTAAAAACAAGGCAATCACTGCTCCGGTATAATGAAGCTGACAGGTTATGCAATTTAAATTAGCGATAACCAGTAATCAAATCTGACACCATGAAAGGGAAAAATGGGTTCTCAGTTCTGCAGCTTCATGTAAAATTCACATTTTCTAAATAATGAATCATATTTTGGCTCTACAATTAGTGACACAGTATCCCAATCTATTTGGACCTCAAGAGTAAGATATTTATAGTACAGAACTTATTGTAATACTGAACAGAATGCTTTACACTTCAACTGGTAGAAATCTGCTCTTGCAAAGTCAATTAAAATCAGTCAAGAAAGAAAAAGCAAAAAGCAAAACAGAACTGAAAATATTCAGTGTTGGCCAGAAGATGGGTAAATGAGTATGAATACAGTGTCTGAGAGTCAGGCACGGTGACGATGGCTCACGCCTGTAATCGCAGCAAGTGAATATATTAATA